GTAGCAACCAAAAAGAGAGTAATTATATTGGTCATAGGCCAATCAACTGTCAGAAATCATCAGATTGTCAAGGGATTGGAAACAGCTATCAAAAAAATATGGGGAGGAGGGCAATTAGCTGTCAGTGGAGTCGGGGGGCCATTATAGTAGTGTACGCTGATAAGCTATCAGTGGAGCAGTGGTCATGAACAGCAATTAGTGTGGCACTTTGTCACCCGGTAGAGGGTCTGGTAACCCTGCCACCTCTTCTGACCAGTTCGTCGTGGGACCCTCTCCGTTTGCAGTCCTTACGTTCGGTTTGGTCTTGTTTCGTCCTTCGCTCTCATAATGGCGTTAGACTTTGTAGGCCGTGGGGAGGTCTAGATGCCTGTTGACGGAGTTGGCATCTGAGTACCATGCCACAAGCATCAGCCTTTCGGATTTTGAGTTCCTCATCTCTGAAAATGGACCCCTGTACGAGTTCGAAAACTCAGGACAATAAATCAATTGATCCGGTGCTCGACACGTCTCCTTCCTTATCCATGCAGATACCTGGAACGCGAACCTTTTCATTCATTCGTTGATTGCATAATTGCAGGCGAAAAACGCTGCTTTCGAGACAATCAAGGCAAACTGCTTTGACAGCTTAAGACTATTAAAATAAGATACGCCCAGATTCTTTATAATTCTGGACACATTTAGGCCGTGACGGTCTATGCTTAGTTAAGACTCACAGTACTTTCCCCAGAAGGTAAATAGGGCAGCCAATAATCTGAATTACTCTCTTTTTATACTAGTGCTTGTAATCTACCTCCTCCTCTTCATATGCATGCCTAACTCGTGCATCTTACCTTATGGATCGGCCTTTAGTCGTGTACATATTTACGGAAGATAAGAACCAGTACAATCTCTGGTCTGACCTCACCTGCTCTGGTAAAATCGTCTTCAATGAATGTGTCCTCCAACTGAGCGGTGAGTGTCCTTGTTCCACCACCACCACCACCACCACCACCACCACCACCACCACCACCACCACACATACTTTGCTACAGATTCTGCTGTTTAGAGTCCTGTCTTGGTATCTCGACAACCGTGATTGCTGCGGGTTATGATAGCAGGCTCGCCTAATAACTGCTTAACCGGGCGCGTCCACAGGTGGCGGCAAGTAGAGGGGCCTTCAACGAAGGTGAGCTGCGAAGTAGCCTTCATCTCGGGTTCGGCCAATAAGCAGTGCCAGTAGGGCGAGCGGGGGGCTGAGGTGTGACGCACCGCGACCGTCTTATAAAAAAGACCGCAAATCCCAGTGACGGCACCGTGACATTACGGTGCCGTGATCGCTGCCAAGTTAGCTAGCCACTGCTGCCTTCTGGTTCTGGTTCTTAAGACAAAGGTGACAGCAACGCAAACGGTTGCTGGGGACCCGCCTACAGTAGAAATATCCAAGAAACCTCATGAAAACTACACGGCTAGATGAGATATGATCAAAATCGTGTCAATTTTGTATTGTAAGTGAACCTGTCATTAGTTAAGTTAGGGAATTATCAGTAGATGACATAAACTGGCCACTTGAAGTCTGAAGTTTTTATTCCGATTATGGTGGTATGGTGGTGTTGCAATATTGATTGTCAGGCAGCATAATTCCGCAGTGTTTCAAACGCACCAGGAAACCGGCTCTTTCTATAGTTGCTCGCATTAAACAGGCATACTTAAGTATTATTATCGATACAAGGACTATCTCTTGCTCGGCCGTCGGTGTAACCCCTTTCATAGGGAGCAAGCACAATGCAGATTGCACGCAACTATGATAGGAAGGGGGCAGGGAAGAAGGGAGTTGGCGTAGCGGAGCGCGATAAACTTGCCTGACCGCAGTCAGTTGACCGTACATGCCAGGAAAATATGCAGTAAAACTAAATGTAGAAGGCGAGAAAACGCTCTCTGGGACCAGTATTTTATTTGCCAGAAGTTTCGAACTCACACGCGAGCTCATTGTCAAGGAATAAAAATTAATATGCGAAAATATTCGCGGTCCAGAGATAATTTTACCTTCATTTT